AGCCTTGGAAACCCTATACAGTGTCACCATGGCACATAACAACAACAAATATATATATTTATATAGAGTTCTGCTGTGGTGCTATGGGCTAATGCATCAGACTATAAAGTCATTTGAACTATAAAGTCGGTGGTTCAAGTCACCAGCTGTTCCTTGGAACACCTATACAATGTCACTATGAGTTGAAATTGACTCAGCACTTAACAACAACATATATATGTATATGTTAAGAGCTGTCAAGTCAGTTCAATCCATAGCAACCCTGTATAGTATTCACAAGGAATAGTTAATGAGTTTGAACCACCAACCTTGGTGTTCAAACTTACTTTGCAATCTAGCTCATTAACCCACAATGCCACACCAGGATTCCATATAGATAGATAGACAGACAGACAGACAGACAGACAGATAGATAGATAGATAGACAGATAGATAAATTCACTGGTTTGCTTTTCTAGAAAACCCAGCATAAGTCCACGATAATGGTGCTCTAAAGAAACAATATCATAAGGATGAGTTTTCTAAATCGATAGTCAAATCTGACTAATTTTAAAGGCACTGATATACGGTGAAGTCATGTTTGACCTCATGTTAGTAATTTCACCAGTCATAGTAGGTCCAGTAAGTTTAGGTTCTTAAGAATTTCAAGTTCAGTTCCACATTTCTTCCCTGCTTTTTATCAGAATGTTCATGAGTAGAACATTCATCAGAGTACCATCAAGATCTTCTGGTGTCACAGTGAAGGGCAGTAGTTCATGTAAATGATTAGTCTCTGATTCTTGGGTCTCCTTTTTTGTTTGTTCTATATGAATGATTGTATCAAAGATGGGCATTTGTAAGCTTTTAAAATCCCAGACATTGCTATGCTGGGAAATAGAACATAAACTTCAAGGACAATATTATGTATGTTGACTTAATTTTCCCACAGACTATGGTTATAATCTTCCAAATCTCCAAAACCAAGACAACCAATCCCATGATGTGATTGTGTCCAATTACTGTCAGCCCCTGTACCTCACCTTATTTTTTGGTTGTTGATATTATTGATAAATCAAATATACATTCATGCATCCATTTCCTAATGTACCATTTATTGACAGCAATATCATCAATCAAGCTGTGTAAGGTTTGCCTATATTTGATGCCCTCCTTCTCCCTTTTCTATAAAAACAAAGTGACTACTAACTCAGCAGTAATTCTTCCACTACTCATCCAATCTCTGGCAAACATTCATGCAGATCAGATTCTGTAAATTGAACTATTTGTGATACTTCATAAAAGTGAGAACATACAATATTTGGTTTTTTTGTGATTGACTTATTTCAACCAAAAAAATATTCTCCAGATTCATCCATGTTGTAGATATTTTGATAACTAAATTTTCTATATCATTGAGAAGGACTCCATTTTAAGTATTCACCTCATTTCACTTATCCATTCATTCTTGGATGGGCACTTTAATTGTTTCCATCTTTTTGCTATTGTGAATAGTTCTGCAATGAACATAAATGTATGCGTCTGTTCCTGCCACCTGTATTAGATCCCTAGGGTTTATGGTAGGAATGGTGTAACTGCATTGTATGGCAGCTCTATCTCGAATCTCTTGAATGGGTAACATTACTACCTTCTCCATGAACTACAGCCTAGATGTACGGGTTCCATTTTCTTGACTGTGCAATTGAGCAGGGGGTGCGTGATGGTTTAATTTGATACTCACTGGACTGAGAACCACACGATCTTCTGTTCAAACCTGCCATCTTCTCTGTGTGAAAAAGATGAGGCTTTCTGTCCCCAGAAGATTTAAAGCCTCAGAAACCCTATAGTGATTAACTATGAGTGGAAACTGACTCAATGGCATTTAACAACAACAACTGAGCAGAGAGTCTAACCCTCTAGTAATCCTAACTTCATGTGATATCTATGTTCTAGCTCCTCACCTGGTCCACCGATCATCAGGGTGTACCTTCTCCATCAGATGATCACCTCTGTAAAGGGTTTCCAAGGAGCAGCTGGTAGGTTTTAACTGCCAACTTTCAGTCAGCACTTCAGTGCTTATCCTACAGTCCCACACTAGAACTCCTAAAGGTTGTGGATATTGTCGTGTTTAAGTGTATTGAGTTGGTCCAGATCCATAGCAACCCAGTGTAGGGTTTCCAAGGACCAGCTGATGAGCTTGAACCAATGACCTTGCAGTTCAAACTGATCTTATAGTCCAGTGCACACCAGTAGTCTAATGTGGATTTTGTTCACTGCCATTGGGTTGATACTAATTCATAGTGACCTGTAGGACAGAACAGAACTTCACTATCCAGAGAAGAAGCAACACCGGAGATGGAGGAAGAGGCGATGACGTGGAGAGATGGAGTGACTGGTGACTCTGGACTCAGGGAGGGAGAGAGGCCATGTGCTGGCGGCTGGGGCTGGGAGACAGCCTTGAGGGGTGTACTCTTTGATTGTTTGAATGGTTACATATTCCTGAGTGCTTTGGTGTATATCCAACAAATAAATAAATAAATAAACCAGAAGGAATGGAAGCAAATGCTGTTGAATGATGATGCATGGAGGGAATTGGAATCATTACAATGAAATTGAATACAGTAGGATGAATGTAAAGCTGATGTTCTCCCATGTAAACTATCACTCAATTCATAATAAAAATGTAAAAAAAAAAAAAAAAATACAGTTTTAAAATGCAGAATTCTATACAGTTGTACATTATTTCCCATTCACTGTAAGTTTTGACTTAAATCTTGACAATAGGAACTAGAAAAAAATTTGAGGAAAATAAAATAGGGAGATTTGTTAAGAAACCAGTTTTTTATTTCTCAACAGCTCTTTGTTTAATGCTTCTTTCACATCTTTATTCCTGAGGCTATAAATCATGGGGTTCAACATGGGAATAATAGTGGTATAAAATACGGCCACCACTTTACCCTGTTCCACTGATTCCTTTGATGGTGGCCTGAGATACATGAAAAAAAGAGTTGCATAGAATATGGTGACAGCGGTCATATGAGATCCACAGGTAGAAAAAGCTTTGCGTCTGCCCCCTGTCGTGCGGATCCTCAGGATAGCAGGAAAAATATAAAGATAGGATATAAGGATAATGAGAAGGGAAAAAGACAAGTTGCACCCAGCCACAACAAACATCGATGTTTCTTTGTTGTAGGTATTAGAGCAAGCCAGCTTAATCAGTGGAGGGTCAGCACAGTAGAAGTGGTTAATCTCATTGGGGCCACAGAAGGCTAGGTTGTAGGTCCACATGGTCTCCATCAGACCAGTGAGTGCTCCATACATGTAAGGCACAGTGATGAGAGACCTACAGACATTCTTGGACATTTGACTGCCATAAAGTAGAGGGTTGCAGATGGCCATGTATCGGTCAAAGGCCATCACAGCCAGAATGTAGATCTCCACATGTACCAAGGCAATAAAGAAGTAACACTGTACCAGACAAGCAGAATAGGAAATGGTTTTCTTCTCTGACAGGAAAATCTCCAGCATCTTTGGAGTCACGTTGGAGGAAAAGCAGAGATCCACAAAGGATAAGTGGCTCAGGAAAAAGTACATGGGTGTGTGGAGCTGGGCATTGAGCTGGATCAATAAAATCATGCCCAGATTCCCTACCACCGTGACCATGTAAACTGCCAGGAACAACATGAAGAAAAGAATCTGTAATTCCAGACGATTGGTCAGTCCCAGGAGAATGAACTCACTCACTGAAGTGAAGTTTCTTCTCATAATTAACTTGAATGGACGATAAAACTTTTGCATATATCTTTAGCTATGACATAATGAAAAAATAAATATTAAAATAATGATTTCTTACCAAATTTCGTTTGTCTTTTCTCTGCATTTTTTCTCATTCAATTTCTATTGTTCTTCACTCTTGGTATAATCAGTCTCTCTAGGTTCTGGAGGATTGCATTTTGCCTGTTTAATTTTATCCTGTCCTTCTTCACTCCCTTGCATTTTACTTTCATATCTTCCCATTTGATTCATCTCTCCCCTCTTACTTAACAAAGGCCCTTTATGGTCATAGAAACCACACAAATCCTTTACCATTTTTTGTTGCTGTTGTTAGGTGCCATTGAATCAGTACTTACTCAATAGTGACCCTGTACACAGCAGAATGATACACTGCCTGGTCCTGAGTCTACCTCACAATTGTTGCTACGCCTGAGCCCATTGCTGCTGTCACTGCGCCAATCCATCTTGTTGGGAGGGTCTTCCTCTTTTTCTCTAACCCTTTTCTTTACCAAACATGATATCCATCTCCCATGACTGGTCCTGCCTGATGATATCTTTGAAGCATGAGAGGCAAAGTCTGGTCATCCTGACTTCCAAGGAGGACTCTGGCTATATGTCGTCCAACACAGAACTGTTGATTCTTCTGGCAGTCCACAGTACTTTTAATATTCTCCTCCAACACCATAACTTAAATGTATCAACTATTCTATGGTCTTCCTTATTCACTGTCCAACTTTTGCATGTACATGACTCTCATAGATATGGATAATTGTATATTTTTAGGTTTAGTGCAAAAGTAGATACTATTACTGATAATAGAGTTTACAGGCAAAACCAGGGACTACAATATCAACCTGTTAAATTCACATTCTGATTCTATATTGTTTATATCAGTTAATGTTGGACATGTTACCTAATAGTTTTGGGTTTCAGCTTCAAAATGGAATTTTTCTACTTCAAAATGGAATTAATGAAAGTACTGCCTCACAGGGTGATATTTAAATTTGTACAAAAATAAAATATGCAATGTATATGAGAAGATTTCAAAAATAAAATACAGTGGAATTTTTCCATGAAATTGTTGATGTCCCCTCATATGACACTGTGTCTAAAATGTGTCAAACTTTCCAAAAAATGTTATCTAGCATTCATTTGATAGCCATGTGGCACTATAGGGTAAGCAACAGATTGTGTGGCACTGAAGGTTAATATGCTGGACTGCAAGGTCAGTTTGAACCACAAGATCAGTGGTTTAAGCTATTAATTCCTCAGAAACCCTATGCAGGATCACTATGAGTAGGAACTGACTGGACTTGACTCTTAAAAACAACAAGCTCACCCAAGGCTGATAGTTCACCTCCACTAGGTAATTTGTGGGAAGAAGACAAGACATTATGCTTACGGAAAGTTTTGCAGCCTCAGAACAAAGATTCCATATATTTTTATTCCTTTATCATGTATTCTTAATATTCAATTACTTTTAAAAGTAACAATGTCATATGTTGACCCTAAAGGACACAGTAGAATTACCCAATAGAGTTTGCAAGGATATAAGCTTTATGGGAGTAAACTGCTACAACTTTCTTTCTTTTCTTTTCTTTTTTATTTTTAACTTTTTATTGTGATTTGGATGAAGTCTTAGAGATCCTATCAGTCTTCCATTCAGTAAGTTATCTACATTTTATTACATGCTATTAATTGCAATCTGTACAATGTAATGCTACTCATCACATTTTCTCCCTGTGATGTCTGCACTTTTCTTTCAATAATTATTACTCTTTCTATCTGGTCATGTAATCATTACAATGATCACTATAATTCTGACAACATATAAGAATGCATAAATGAACACATGTTTTGACATTATGAGCACATAAAGAATGAAAAATATACCTACTTAAGGAGGAAGGGAACTGTTCTTGCAAAGACTATCCATGGCTCCTAAATAAATAGTGTAGGTCAAATTTGTGTTATTTGTATGTTGACTCCATTTTGTTAAGGGATTTCACAAACATTAATAGAGGGAGCAATTATTTAACTAGATAAGGTTTTTTTCACTAAACGATTTCTCTGGGGAAATAAAAATTGGCACACGAGAGGTTCACATGGAAGCTGAGTTCAGGCTCGTACTTTCCTCCTTTATGATCTGTCTCAATGTTTTTCTTCATATACTAGAAGATCAATACGGCAATTTATATGTAAATAATGAATGTTGATTTGCATTTTGCTAACCATGATACTTCACATTTCTCAAAAATCATTTCTTCAACATCACTGTGAAATTTTTCTTTCAAAATACTGTATTTTTCTGACATCTTTCAGTTTGTGAACTGCAATATTAACAATGTACTTTGTTTACTAAAATGAAGATTTGCTTGTTTGAAAACTAGTCGTTAGGTGCCATCAAGTCAGTACCAACCCTATTCACAACAGAACAAAATACTGCCTGGTCATGGGTCAGCCTCACAATTGTTGCCTCACTTGAGCCCTTTGATACTGCCACTTTGTCAGTCCATCTCTTTTTCTCTGACCCTCCACCTTACCAAACATGATATTCGTCTCCAGTGACTAATCCCTCCTGACAATATGTCTGAAGTATAAGAGAGGAATTTTGGCCATCCTGACTTCCAAGGAGCACTCTGGTTGCACTTCTTCAAACACAGATCTGTTTGTTCTTTTGGCAGCCCATGGCACTTTCAATATTATCCTCCAACACCATATCCCAAATGCATCAATTCTTCTACAGTCTTCCTTATTCACTGTCCAGCTTT